CCCATTATTTGTTTCATAATATCCTTTAGTAAATCAATGCCCTTGAACGTTTGAGATACAACGACCCTATAAGCTGCCTGAAAGTGTTGTTCGACACTAGATGAAGTGCATACTATCATAGTGAGTGCTTTTTTCCCGGCCCACCCATGGCCACTATGGAGACAACACTAAGAGTTATGTTCTCTTTTTGTCAACTAACTTGCCAACTATTTCTTTGTAATCATCCCCGAAACCAACAAGGTTAATATCTTTTCAAAGTTTTGGTGCATAGTACCATAATCTTTTGGATACTCATCGTCAATACTCCCTCCATTTTTGCATACACAAGGCCACTATCAAAATTACAATTTGCAGCTATACAAGGCCACTAACACCAATCAAGATAAAATTTACGAGTTTGCCTCGTACTAGCAACCGAGGACATTAATACCAAATGCATGCATGCGAGAGTGAGAAGGTTGGTTTTAATGCATCGCATTATAATCAACCAATGAGGAGTGAGAGAGTTGTCTTGTTGTGCGTTGGAGAGGAAAATACACATTAATTAACACGTCAAGCGAGGAGAAAAGACTAGTTTGCAACATTGGCTTAAATGGCTATTAGTTTCTACCTTGGTACCTGTAATATGGGTTTGTGCCCTTGTATACAAAAATGGAAGGAGTTTCTAACCTTGGTAACCTTTACCAGATCACTAGTATCCAAATTAATTTTCAAATGGTTTGCACTATAAAATATCTCATTTTTCTTCCTTTTTACACGTTGTATTTCAGCACCAATTGTGTGAAGGGTGATCAGGTCGCTTGGCAAGGAAGCATACCTTACATGGCACCCATGAAGCCATTCTTGAGCATGTTTCCCTTCTCCATGTAGTCAGCCGCTTCAATGGCTTTCTCGGCCTCATATGCCGCATCCCTGATCTGGCTAACCCCGGTAGCCACAAACTCATCTCCCGATCTCCATCTGGCGTCTGCGGATTTAAGGTAGCTCTTTAGTCGCTTCAGCTCATCCTTCAAGAATCCCACCTCAAGGTCGCTCTTTGAGATGGGGTTTAGAATCATTACTTCCATATATGAGCTTGGTCGTCTTGAAGTTTGATTAATTTGATTCGGATTGGAAAAGAAACTGAAATTCGCAGTACAGGCCTTTCCAGAGTTATTAACTGTTATTGTACCTTTTTTAGGGAATATCATAATTTAATTACTACTCCTATATCTTTGGAAGTTTGGATGGAGACGGGCCTGGGCCATCTGCATGTAGCTAGTGCCACTGAAACTGCACGGACGGGCCTGGACTTCTCCTGCGGCTACGTCCTACTACGGGGGCTGCTCGATCTCTCCCATCCTCCCTAGATCTGATCAGATACGATCCGATCAATGGGGTGCATCCCCTCGCGCGCGGCGTCTCGGTCCGCCGCACCAACATCCACGCCGGCGCCCGCGTCCGCGTCCAAGCCCAGCCCATGGACCGCTCTACCGCCGGAGCTGCTCCTAGAGGTCTCCGGCCGCCTGCAGCACGCCACCGACTTCGTCCGCTTCCACGCCGTCTGCAGGCCCTGGCGCGACGCGGCCGCGCTGCTCTCCCGCCCCACCTGCCTGCCGTGGGTTCTCACGTCGTGCGACCACCAGATGCTACACTCCATCGTCGACTTCCATCACCCCATCAAGGCGCCGCACGACCATGACCCGCACGACGACGGCGACATCGCCCTCACGGAGCCACCAGGGGCGCCAACCAACAGCAGAAACTGGGTGGCCAGCCCGGATGGCATGGCTACCTGGCTCTTTGTTGCGAGTCCCCAGCCGGGACTCATCGACATTCTTACCGGGGCCGTGAAGCCCTTACCTCCCTTACCAGACGATGAAAGCATGTTCATGGGAAATTTGCGCGGCGTCGTCTACCCAGATGGTACTGTTTTTCTCTACAACTTTATTAACAGCTTCCCCTCACACTCCTTTACGGCGGCTATGCTGTGCCCGGGCAGTGCGACATGGACGGTCATGACAAAGAGGCTGAAATTGTTTGCACAACCCTATGCCATGTATCATGATAGCAAGGTCCTAGTGTTCGATGGAGATTCTATGTGGTGCTTCATGATGACGAAGGACTTCGAAGGCAACACCAGTGATGTTAACGGCGACGATCTCGAGTCGAGGTGGGTTCTAGGCGAGGATATAAGTTATCTTCATGAAAGCAGCTACATCTTGGAGTCACACGGTGAGTTGTTGTTGGCATCTGTCATGGTGAAACGGTCTTTGAGTGGTTACGGTTGCAGCAATCCGGCGCGCATGCTGCGGGTGACATTGCGCACGATGCGGAAAGAACCAGCCAGTGGCAAGATACAATGGGTGGAGATAGATGGTCGGAACCTAGGAGACCACGCCTTGTTCCTTGGATCCCCCGCTAGCCTCGTGATGAAGCTGGACGGAGGCGGCGGGTGTGCCTACTTCGTCTTTTGGGGTGGCGTGTTTAGGTGCAGCTTTGTTGATGGCGAAGCCAAGGCCGTGAAGTGGTTGCGTCCTGATTGTCGTGCTGATGAGGCATGTGTGTGGCTTCGCCCCAGCCTATCATTTACTCCCATCAAGGAAATTAAAGAAAGGCTTGAGGCTCGGAACAACATGAAAAGGGAATAATTTCGTAAGTCTGATTTAGTTTGTTTTGAATGTTGCTTTAGTTCACAACCATATATTTGTAAACAATTCTTAGTTTTGCTTGAAGGACTGGAAAGCTTATTCTTTATGGAGTGTAAATCAATAATTGCACATTTGAGAACAATTACATAACCATTCCATAACTTTGTAATTTACTCGCAAACATGTGCATATAATGCCGCTTTATTTAATACAATAATAAACTACGTCTCCACCAGAATAAGCCTGATTTATAACTCCTCTTCCAAATTCATTTTATAACTCCTCTTCCAAATTCATTTTTGTTTTGTTGTGGACCACAATTTCAATTAAGGCATTCAGAGCTTTATTAATTTTAGAAAACAGTTATATTGTTCTTTTATCAACGACGGTAATAAAAAGCTAAGGTACTAGCATCCCACATACAATCAATACGATTTGTAAAACTCTGCGTAGCCAGCGTATGCACTACACAATTAGCTTCCCTTGGTCTTCGAATGCGATCTTTGCAACTCCATACGAAAGTAAAATGCTGGCGTACAAAATAGCCGTTGAGGATGTTCATGAGTGACCTCTAGCGAGCAATGTATCAATGGATAGCAAGTTGTTAGACTGAAGGATGAACTTGTTGAACCCATAAATTTGCACTAGACTTGGTCCCTCTGGGAGGATGTAAGCTTCTTCCATGAATGTGTCTGTAGCTACCTTGGATGATGCTGCCATAAACTTCCGTCAGCTGTCGCGCATGACAGCAACCATGCTTCCCTTTGCCTGGTCATCATTGTATGCAACATCGGCGCTAATTTTCAGATCCCTTCCGGCGCACAGGACCATTCCACACGCCCCTTTGCTCCTCAGACTTTCTAGGCTCTCCGGTAATTGGTTGCCAGAACACCTATCCACAATGCACTGCCGTTAGCCGGTTGTATATCCTCACCTTATCCATAGGACCATTCCACACGTCCCTTTGCTCCACATACTTTCTAGGCTCTCCGATAATGGGTAATGCACTGCAGTTAGCCGGTTGTATGTCCTCACCGTATGATCCGTATCCACAAGACCATTCCACACGCCCCTTTGCTCCTCATATTCAACAAGCAAGCGAGCGAGTCCTTGGATGATCAAAAGCACTTTTTTTAGAACACTAGTCCAAACGGGCATGGCACGACAAGGCATGTCGAGGCCCGTACATAAGCGGGCCGGCACCCGTGCTTTGCCTCGCGCCCTCGGCACGACATATGAGCTAAACAGGGCCGGTTCGTGTGCTTTTCCGCCTTTTGGGCTGTTTGGGTCATCCAGGGCTCAAATTCTAAAAAAAAGAGATGGACCTTAGATTCTGTAAAGAAAAATGGACCGTGCCGGGACGGCACGCGGCGTCGCCCTAGCAAGGCCATATGCATGCCACGGGCCAGGCATGGCCAATTTTGCAGTGTGCCAGGCCAGCACCAATACAGGCCGAGCTGCTGTGCTGGCTCGCAAAGAACAGGCCCGTTGGCCTGCTATATGATGGTTACACTGTCTCCTTTACTTCCTTCTTCTGTCCCTCTTATCGCTCTTACACAATCCGAAGCAATGACCGTTGGGCCTCGCTGGATATCTTGTAACAAACACAAGCCCTCTCGACACGCAACGGCCTCAAACACAGGACGGATCCAGCACTCCGTCGATGACCAGAACTGACGCATCAAGAAACTTTCTTTCATCATCGCAGAGTATAGTTGCTGCTGCGCTCTTAGTTTCATCACTAGATATAGCACCGTCTATTGCGAAAGTGTGGCTCTCATCCTGAGCTCATGTGAGCTTGCTTCAACAGTAAAAAAAAAGAAAAATCTAAACATTTGTCAATGTTCGACAAAGAATTCGGATCTTTTTTAATTTCTTCTATTGTTTTGATTTTACTGCTCACATATGCTCAGGATCAGAACAGCCTTTTTTTTGAGTAAAAGATCAGAACAGCCGCGTCCCGTCTGTTGGTCTTTTTTACTTTTTTTTTGTTTTGGTTTTTTTTTTTGAGAAAACGACTCAATCAAGTTTCCCTCTGAACACAATCCAAACTGGCCTTTGGGTCTCTCCTAACCGGCGAACCCTATTTGACGCTCGCGTGCGTCCATCTGCTCCGCTTCCGCTGAAGCGCACGAGCGAGCAGTGCAAACGGGCCGGGCCATTTCGTGCATTGAAGCAGGGCAAACGGGCCGGGCCATTTCGTGCATTGAAGCAGGGCCAGGCAAACGGTTTTGGGAATCTTCTAGAGGGTTCCCTGGACCGATTTTTTTCATATTTTTTCTTTTACTGGTTTTCTGTTTTTCTTGTTTTCTTCTATTTCTGTTTTTTATTTATTTTATTTTTTCTTTCCTTTTCTTTTATGTTTTTTCGTTTTTATTTTCATTCTATGTTTTAAGAAATGTTCGAAATTCCAATTTTTGTTCATGATTTCAAAACTTGTCCACAATAGTAAAAAAGGTTTTTATAAAAAAATCACAATTGTTCAGCGTATATTACAAAAATGTACAATGTATATATAAAAATTGTTCAACATATATCACAAAAATGTTCAATTTCTATTTCAATATTGTTCAGCTTATATCACAAAAGTGTTCAATGCGTAGTTAAAAAATATTCAGTGTATATTTACAAAAAATATTTTATGTATATTTAACAAAATATTCAGCGTATATCACAAAAATATTCAATGTGTATTTCAAAATTGTTCAGCATGTATCCAAAAATGTTCTTTGTCTATTTAAAAATTGAACATTGTATATTTACAAAAATGTTCAATGGTTGATTTTTTTTTAATTTTTTCTGGATCTGTCACGGCATTGAGTTTAAATAAAATTGCGCGATCAACTAACTAGAAATGCTTAGTAGCTCAACTGGTGAAGAACGGTTACTCGTGGTTGCCAGGTTTCCAGTTTGATTCCTCGGTATGGCATTTTTTGTTCTTTTATATTTAAGTAGCCTCTCGCTACAACGCATCGAATGGGCCGGCCCATTCAGTTCGCGCCTGCGCGAAAGCTCGTCCTTTTGATGCTAACGAGCGTCAGCTAGGGACTCCCCTCCTAACCACGAGAGCTCCTATGTGACGCTCTCTGCGTCAAGCAGTCGAGGGATCGCATAGGGGCTCGAGAGACTGGGCCGGCCCATCTCTCTCGTGAACAGTAGCTCACGCTGGAATTAAAAAAAGCTGCGTTGCCAGGAATCAAACACAAGACCTACTGCTTACGAGCAACGATTCGAACCAGTTCGGATACCTAGCTTTCTTGGTCACAGAACATTGCAAAACATTAAGAAAACTCATGTCTCTCGCGAACAGTAGCTCACACTGGAATAAAAAAATATGCGTTGCCATGAATCGAACACTAGACCTGCTGCTTCATTCGAACCAGTAGAGCTAGCTAACGCCGATCCGAACATTTTTCAAAAATTCGAGCACAAAACATTTTTTTTCAAAAACAAAACGTGAATGTTTTATCAAACGTGAACATTATTTTTTTCATAAATTTTGAGAAAACTCAAACATTTTTTGACATACAAACAAATTTTGGAGACGTGAACATATTTTTAGAATGGAAACATTTTTTAAAGTAGCCAAAAATCTGAACATGAACAATTTTTCAAATTTCAAAACAAAATTTGGAAACACAAACAACTTTTGCAGGCGAACATTTTCTGAAATTCCAGATTTTTTTTGAAGAAACGGACATTTTTAAAATTTTGCAAACAATTTTCGAAACTCCGAACAAAACTTCTAAATAAGAAAAAAAAAGTGGAACTTGCGAAATTTTTTTGTAACAGGAACATTTTTCAAACTCCCAAACAAATTTATGGAATCTACGAACATTTTTCAATCTGTGAACAAAAATTTGAAAACATGAACATTTTATAAATTTGGGAACAAATTTGGAAAGCTGGAACACCTTTTGAAATTCCTATACACTTTTTGAATGCAAACAAAATTTTAAAACATGGATAATTTTGAGAAATAGGAATATTTATTGAAACTCACGAACAAAAAATGAAATCCGAATATTTTTCTTAAGTTTGCTAACATATTTTGCAAAGTTGTGAAATTTTGAAAAAAAAATAGAAAGAAGAGAAACAGAAACTAAAAAAAGAAAAGAAACAGAAAATAAAAAACAATAGAAAGCCGAAAAGAACCAGAAAAAAAGGATACAAAAAAACCCGGTTCAGGGAACCTTCTAGAAGGTTCCCAAAACCGGTTGGACGCACTATGTATAAGTGGGCCGGCCCATGTCGGTCGCTCGCGGCACTCCTCTGTGCGATCCCTCGACAATTCGCCGCAGAGAGCGGCGAATAGGATTTTCCCCTAACCAGTGTAACCTGGCGTCTCCATGGGACCGACTCAATCAAGTTGGGCCTGTTAGCCCACCAAAGCCCACGAACACCCAAGCAATTCTTGCTCCATATCGTCTCCTTCCCCTCTTCCTCCCCCTCATGGCGCCTCCCGCCGCCGGCGACACCCCACCTCCTCCTCCTCCTCTGGCCGCAGAGAGCAGCGCCAGCACCGAGGAGGAGTCGCGGTGGCTGGCGGCCCTCTCCGAGCCCGAGCTCGTCAGTGACGCCGCCCTTCTCGTCGCTCTTAATCTCTCGCCCTTAGTACGACAGGTTTTAATGGTGCCGTGGTGGTGGTGGTGCAGGATTTGCTCATCAGCCTCAAGTTGCTGGCCGTGAAGCGGGCCGAGACGGCCGGCCGCCCCCACCTCGCCGACGCGTTCGATCTGCGCACCCTGCGGGCCCTCGGTACTGCCTGCTTCTATCGCCCCGCCGCACCTCCCTCTCCTCCCCTCCCCGCAACAGCAACAAAAATCAGAGAAAAAATTGTGCTGATTGTGTGCTGGTAGAAGGCGCAATTTTTGTTGGCTGGTTGCCATGTCGTCATAGGGCATTCAGCCGTTTCTGTTATTCACAATACTCTGAATTTTGTGTGCCAAAGAGACAGATGTTGAGCACAACTATGAATTCAGTGCATACGACATCTTTTT